CCCCTCAGTGTGTGCCCGGCCCAAGAAGAAAAAGACAAACAGTAATAAAAACTCTATTTCATGCTATCTACTCGTATCATAGGTTCAGACCAACCTGCTTCAAAGACAGTCGTGATAAAGCGCTCCGGCAGGTCCACTGGGACCGCCTGTCTGCTTCTTAATAGTTTCATCAGCCTGTTTTTGTTGCACAGGATCGTTCACAAGTTACATCTCGCAGACAGCTTCAGTTTCTCTTGCCCGTGTGCTCGAGATCTGATATCTTTTTTCAGCCCATGAAATTATTTTACAACTCAATTCCCTTGTCTAATGTTCTTCAAGTGCACAGAAACATGTTCACCTCTCTTCATAGAAACAAACAGGAAGTTTAATTCAAGGTGATACTCTTAACTCCCTGCTTTTGGTTGCCTTAGGAAACCTGCACTCTTCAGTTGAGGAGAAAGACGCAAACAAATAGCAGGCTGAAACAAGCTTTCTCTCGCTGTCAACCGACTCTACCACTCACCCACAGACACCCAATGTCCTGCCTAAATGTGGAAACCTTAATCCTCAAAAGTCATATCTTAAAAATGAATTGGGGGGGGGGGGGGTTGGCTGTCAGCCAGTAAATTGAGTAAATTGACAGCAGAGTGTTAACATTTGAGCTGGTAATAATAAAAAGACTAAGTCTCTACACTCACTCTGATTCTACAGTTCGTCTCTCAACTGGGAGGTCAGGGGTTCAGTCCCCAGTTCCTGCACTCATATGTCAAAGTGTCCTTAGGCAAGACGAATTCCAAATTGTTGGCATGCTACAGTATGTCAGTGGTGTGTGGATTAGTAAATACTGATGGACACTTTACATAGCAGCCTCTGCCATCAGTGTGCAGGGAAAATGTGACATGTCGTGTAAAAAGCACTTTGAGTAGCCAGAAGACTAGAAAAATGTACATGCTGGAGCCTGCTTAAAAAGTCCATTTACATGTGGTATAGTTCATTTGTTTATTTGTGTGGCAGCAAACTAGTAAAATAGCATTTGGATAAAATCAGGCTGGTTAAAATAATAATGTGTGTTCCTTTAGTCCACTTGGCACATTGTTTGTGTCTGCTATAAAAATGCCTCATGGATGTTTTTGTTTGCTACTTTGGACCGTGACATGTGAGCAGCTTCCCTGTTTTTAAGTCTGTTAAAAGTCAAACATGTCTAAGCTGTAGCTTCATATTTAACAGAGAGCTTTGGCAGTTTTATCTTCTGTTACCTTCTTCAAGAAAGCAAATCATGCCAAACCAAACCAATCCGGTGAGCTCAGTAAATGAGTTATAGACCATAATAAATGATAGGCTAACAGATATGTGGTAATCATATCCTGTGAGACAGTCTGTGGTACTCAGGCTCTACAGTGACTTAGTGTTGCCAGGATAAAAGCCCAGACAATGCTGGTGGGTGTTTCATGGGCCGATGATATCTGCTTAGACTGACGAAATGATACACTTGGAAGTCATTGGGAGATGGAGAGCATTAAAAATTAATTTCACCATAGCTGGCCCAAAACTGACAGAAAAGACTATTTTGTGGGTATTCCAAATGATGTTTTACTGTTTCTCATATCCTGGAAAGATAGAAAAAAAAGATGTCTCATCCCGCTCCAGAGAACGTTTATTGATGCGGCAAATGAAATGGTACTGTATGTTCCTGCAAGATGATTACTTGAAGTAATTGTTCACTTTTATTGACAGACCCAACATATTTCTTGAAAACAAATTGGTGCAATGTTAAACTGTAACGACTGTGGGTGGATTTCAACACCACAGCACCCCTGGGTGGAGTTTCCAGGGAAACTTAGGGCCAAGCTTGAAAACACAAAGGGAGCAAACTGTGAGCCTGAGTTGATCTCAATCAGGCAAGACCAGCCGGTGAATCTGTGTTCCTCGTGGAAGATAAGACTCTGAAGTCGGGGAAATTCAGCAGAGGTGCAGCTTGTCAACAGGCAAGGCAGGCAATTGATTGACCCCAACAAGAGTGAGTGCTATCTAATAGGGCCCCCTTAGGGAGGTTTTCTACTTTCAAAATTTGCACATTTTTGGCCACTGCTTTGGTTTAAGTTTGTGAGCCCTCAGTAGCCCCCCCTACTGGTCTGGGGCCCCAAGCAGTTGCCAGCTGATGTTTGCCTAGAGCCCCAACAGACTCTAGAATCGCCCCTGGACAGAGCATTATAACATTGAAAGGCGAGCAGAGCAGATTACATCACCATTACATATCTAAGGTTATTTTTACATTTTAAATCTAAATGTATTTTTTTCCCGCTTGATGCCATATTTCTGTCTTTCTTTTGGATTTTTCTATTTTAATTTGATCTTATAATATTTTCTGAGTGTTAAGGGTTTGTTGAGTGATTTTTGAAATCTTGTATTTTAATGTTTCTTTTTCTTTGTCTTGACGCTCTTGATGTCCTGTGTGAAGCCCTTTGAATCTCCTTGTTGCTGAAATGTGCTATATAAATAAACTTGACTTTTAACATTTCAGTCATATCCACTGAAAACCTTCTTGTAGCATGTACACACTTTGTGTATTGCTTGTCCTTTAGTTGCAGTAGAAATAGAAACTTTCTCCATTGTGTGATGGAGATGTAAATGAGTTACACACTTTCACCTCCTTCACAGTGAGATGTTGACTGAGACCGCTCTGGTTCCCATAAATAAACAGTATTACACTGACAAATTTAATAGGAGTGGGTAGGAATGGCTGGATTGAAGTGCCAGAGGCGAGTGAGCCAAAGTAATGTGACTTAATGTAATTAAAACAGAGAGCAGTTACCAGAAAGGCAGAATCGATCCAACAAACCAGACTACCAGAGACACGATGGCGTAGGTCAGCTTTATTTCTGTATACGTGCATCTGATTCTAAAAATAGAATAGAATAAATAACTGTGTTGCAAAATATAAATTCATTCCAGAAAAATAAAGCCTGAGGATCATACAGCGAGATACAAGAATTGTCTACACATGCTTTTTGAATGGCAGCTTCATACAATGACAATTAATTATATATTCCACATAGTGCACAGCCTTTTTGGCATGAAATCCAGCAAGAAGTTTAGACATTTTTAGGAAAATAGAGGGTCAATGGATTAATAATTTACAAAACATTCTTCAGCAAAAACGTCCAACGTTAAATAAAGGAAACAAAAAGACACATAAAAAAAATGCAGGTAAGGTGTACAAGGGTTAAATGTGTCATCATGGATGTGATTACATTTTTATATTATATAGATAGATCTTTTCTAGATATATACTCTATAATGATACAGTGGTAATAGAAAATAATCATACTGTCATACAGGAAAAGGGAGCCTACAGTGACAATGACAACAGTGACACCTGGTGGCTGTTTTTCAGAGCTGCATTTTCGAAAAAATCTAGTGCACGCAGAAGACGTTTTTACAGTTGGTTAAGCGGCTGGTAATAGATGCCTTGAGCAGAAGTACAACTTCTTCAGTAATTTATCCATTTATAAAATAAAGAATTACGTAAAATTAACAGTGGCTGGTGAAATTAACTTGGCAGAACATTACACACATAAAAAAAAACCTGCCATAGTTTAGAGAGTTATCGTTCCTTCTTTGATTTGACTGAAAAAGGAGATGTACACAACATGGATCAATAGACTGGATACACAGAACATCGATTAGAAAACAGGGCCAGCTGTAATCTAGCCTGTGCAACATTTGGTTTAGAGTGGGCAATCCTTTGATACATGCATTTTAAATACTAACCCACTGGCAAACATTTTTCCTAATGGCAGTACCTTCACAGAGTTTTGGTAGGTATGACGAGGAGTTATGCAGCTACATTTGAGGTAATTACTCCTCGTATTGTCTATTGTACATTACAGGTCCATTATTCTAGCAGTGCAGGGGTCACATTCAACGGCAAAAGCATGATTTATTCTTCCTCGCTCTACCGTGGCTGCCATGCACCTTCAAAGAAATGTATTAATACATCGGTTAGTTTTGGGAGCATCCCATTCAAACTATGGAGGTGAGCCACCAGTTTGAGGCTCACCGCTCCAGCCTGTCGACGCTTAAACTTGACTTTGGATTGGCAGTCTTTGCTTCAACATTTCTTTTCCTGCCAAGTTTCAGGCCCCATTGTTTGAAGTATATAATACAGGAATAGAGGAATACCAGCTCATGAAGGCAAGGACCACTTACATAGGCTACATCTTTTACCTATAGTATAGGTTTGATGAAGAAGGCTTAAGTCAGGAAAGAAGAGAATACTTTGACTTTAACAGTCCATCCATCTCCACCTCTTCATACTGTATATTGCACGGCTGTACTTCATTCATCTCCTCTCTGGCCACAATTCAGTCTTTCCTCCGACTCAAAAAAGGTACAAAAAATTCAAAACTTAAAATAAGAACTTTGGGAAAAGTACAATTACAAACCAAAAAAATCCCTAGAAAAAAATTGAATCAGGGTTTTATAAGGTGAAGGTTATTATTTTTTTTACCATGTAGGATTGTTAACTGTAAGTGATAAATGACCATTCTGTCATTAGTTTATATTATGTGTCCATTTATCTTTAAACTTTAGGCACAGGATAACCCAGGATAATTTTTTTTTTTAATTTACAGAGAAGTCTTAATCTTTGAACTCAATGGAAATGATGGGTTCTTATTTTATTTGAAAATGTAAATGAATGGAAGTGTAGATGTATAATAGAATGGTCAAGACTAGGGCTGGGAAATATATCGATATATTTTCAAACAAGATATAGGGTAAGACAATATCGTTAAAATCGATATAGTTTATGTTGCATTAAAATAACGTCACAGAGGTGTCAGGTCACCTTTTTCTCATCTCACTGATGATGACTGACTGTCTGTCCTTCTTTTCCCTGCTCCTCCTCTCTCTCTCTTTTATTGTATTTAAGGAACATTTTTATTTTTTAATATTACTTTTTAAATTCACAAACAGGTAGTTTATTTTTCCATGTGTTTTCACTGTTAATAAAAGGCACATCAACACATATCGAGTATCGCCATTCAGCTAAACAGTATCGATATGAGTTTTGGTCCATATTTCCCAGCCCTAGTCAAGACTATATTTAATCTTAAACACAGGGTCGTTAACGATGTGTGACCAAACTACAATAAAAAAATAAAAAAAACTTAAAGAAATGATCCATTGACCATCTTTCATAAATAGGACAACTGGATAGATTACTCCATGTGTATTCGATGTGAAGTAATCTATTCAGCACTGACAGTGCATAAAGATGTTACAAAGGCACTACGTGTTCAATTAGATCTGTAACTGGTTGGCCTCAAATTTCATACCTGATTCTTTTGGTCGGGGTCGTGGTCTGGATCTTGTGTAAGGGAAGTAAAGGAGACGGCTTTGCCCAACTTGTACTGATCCCCAATGGTGTCATCTAGCTGCATGTCTTGATTCTCCCTTTTCACTCCATTCTTTTTATCGAACTCTGCAGTAATCTCAGAAAGCGTCTTACCCTTAGTCTCTGGTAAGGTAAGTCCTAAAAACACCGAAGACAACACACACACGGCCATAAATGGCAGAAAGCAGATGTTTCCCAGGCTGCCGACTATAAAGGGAAACAGCATTCCCACCAAGAACAGGCTGATCCACATAAACGAGCCGGCAACCATGTACGCTGCCGGTCGAGATGCCTGGTCAAATATTTCCGCTGGCAAGATCCCGGTCACTCCTGCAGGGCCCAAGCCAAAGCTGAGGATGTAGGCAAAAACACATGCCATGCTGAGGTAGGGCATCCCAGCCACCCCGTGGCTCTGTAAGGTAAGAGCTATAGTGAAGACTAAAGACCAGCAAGACATAAGGCAGTATCCTCCAATAAGAAGGTACCGGCGGCCAACACGTTCAATCAGCAGGTTACTCAGTATGGAGGCTGTAAACTCTGACGCCCCCGTTCCAATAGTGATGTACTGGACTTTTTCTGGAGGGATCCCTGCTTCGAGAAAGATGTAAGAGGCATAGAAATAGATGGAGTCATTGCCACAGAGCATCATGGCACTACTGGCTGCCATGACTGTTCTGAGCTGGCATCGCAGGTCACGACTCTTAAACAGGGACCAGGGCGTCCTTGTGGAAGCTGCAGATCCAGAATTTAAGGCTGCCGATTTTTGCAGCTGCTGCTCTTGAAGCAACTCGTCCATCTCCGAGACGGGGACCTCCCCACCCCGGAGTCTTTGAAGCGCCTTGACACATGCTTCCCTGTCTCCCCGGTCAATGAGAAGGTACCTGGGGCTTTCAGGGAACCAGGGTAGGGTAAGAAGCTGGATCAACCCTGGCAAAGCATTACTAGCCAGCAAGTAGGGCCAAAGAGGCTCTGCACCCAGAACTTCGGTGAGTCCCACAACTTGACCCAAGAAGATCCCGAACGCAGTAAAGACAGCAGATGAAAAAGCGGTAGCTCCTCTGAGGTGTTTTGGGGCACTTTCCCCAAAATACATGGGTTGAACATTCATACTGACCCCTGAGTTCATCCCCACCAGAAAACGAGCACAGATGAGCATCTCAAACGATTCAGCCATCCTGCATGTCAGCACAAGCACAGCACCGGCAAACAAGAAGGAATTGTTTAGAAGCAGTGAGTTCTTCCTTCCAAAGCGGACCGCCAGAGGTCCTGCTAACAGGGCACCAAGCAAACCCCCCAGTGAGAAAGCTGACACTATCAGAGTCCACACCAGTGTCACCTGGGGAGTCTCCAGGCCAGTGCCCCAGCGCTTCACGTAGGTATCATTGATGAAAACCTGGATGTAGCTGGTAGGTGAATTGATAATTGAGATGTTGTATCCATACTGGAAGGTGCCTCCAATGGCAGCAGAGCAAACAGTCAAAGCAAGAGTCCTGCCACCACCTGATGGTTTGCTGGTTTCATCTTGCTCTGGGTCGCTTGTAGAGGACATCAGGAGTGTTGCTATCACAGAGGAGAGGTGTCCTCTGTGCTCCACACAGCAGTAATATAGGCTACTAAAAAAGATAACAGTAATGTGTTAACAGCTTAAGTTAATGAACAACTCTGTTAAAGATAAATGTTAAAGATGAACATGGGACATTGAAAGTGTCTACAATCGTCTCACCCGAGGAAACGTCTTGTCATCTGCCGGTAACATCCATGCGCCGTTATGTGGGCCGCCGCAACACGGGACTCTAAGGCAAATCAACAGTGCTGTGCTGCATTGTCCTTAGTAAAATAACCGTGAAAACCACATGACATTGTCGTCGAACGACAAGTCAAAGTTTGTATTCAACTAATAATCTTATGAGCTGAGACAATAAGCTTTATAAAACGAGCAAAGAGGTGAGGAAATGCCCTAGCAGTCCTTACTGAGGGGAAATAATTTTCTCATTTCCTTCAACGGCTCTTGTGCACGTCTAGCCTTTTGATTGGTGGACTTCAAGCCGACATGTGACGTCATCTTTTTGTGACGGAGTTGGAAAGATGTGAGTAAAAGCGAGTAATTGTACAAGTTGATATTCTATTTTATTGGGAATATGTATTGTTTGCATTGACAGTAAATGATAACGAGATAACGTTGGTGTCGCATTGAGAGCAGCCTTTTGTTTTTACGATGCTAATTTAGGTTTAACATGTTATAAATAAGTATTAGCTGGCTAGTGCTAACAAGCTCACTGACGCGAGAGTCTATTTATCTACTCAGACTGAGAGGTTGTTAGAGAGGAAGTTAATTTATAACTGTGAAGTTTAATTTGATTATTTCACCGATTTATTTCAGTGATGTACTTCTATTTTCTCGCTCTGTTTTTGTTTTATTTTCGAAAAGGACAAAGTGAGCAGTAATAATAAAACAGTATTATATCATTATGAATATTACAGCAAACTTACTTTGTAGGTTAAGACACAAAACTATCAGACATTAATTGTGGATTGTTGTTCTTTTTCATCTTAAGTAGACACCCAAAAAAATATCCGTAATTTAATACCAATTCTCTAATCTTTGAGATTAATTGGTCCAATTATTTAGTATAATTAGGCATGATTTATCGAGCTACACCTGTGATGTTTATCAAATCTAAACAACCAGACATGTTTTTGAAAAGTACACATATTATATCACAGTATATATCTTTCATACACTCATACCCACCCATCTATGTCTTAGATAGCAACTTGTCAGTGTAGTCTGTGGTAAATGGTTAGCATGCTTATAGTGTTGTTTACAAACAGCATGTACAACAAATACCTAAACATCTAGTTTTGCATGTTTTAATGGTATAAAGTTTCATTTCTTTAAAGTGTTGTCCAATGCCTGAAAAGCTCGTCCAAACTCCATGTGATCTGCAGAGTCCCTCTGCACCTTTAAGAAAAAGCTAAAGACCCAGCTCTTTCATGAATACCTACTAACTTAATGATCATGGTCTCGATATCATTGATGATGATGATGGTTGTGACGATTGTTTTTGTTTGATAACGATGACTTATAAGATGGTTTCTATACTGATTAGAGCTCTCAAGAACTGCCGTCAATGTTGTGCTTTGCCTCTGGTCACTTCCTGTCAGCACCTGTTGGTCCAATCGGACTCAAAGCTGATCATTTGCTCTTACTGACATTGTTCCCTTCTTTCTAGATCCTTGCTTGTGTTGTTCTTACTCTCTGATGTACGTCACTTTGGATAAAAAATTGTAGAATTTTTGTTTACTTACATCTCTAACCACAGGGCGCCTTCCCCAACGAAGAGGAAGGAGGATGACAAAAGCAAACAGCGCGGTAAGGAGAAGTCAGGCGGCACAAAAGAAGGTGCTGAAAAAGGCAGAGGTCGAGAGAAGAACCGCACACGGCGCAATGCTTCAAGTGGGAGCAGCAGGTCAGAGGCGATACTATATATGATTTAATATGACTTCATGCTGACAGGTTTTTCTCTTAGCTTTGTTCTGTTCTATGTGTTTCTATATCTATAAGAAAATCTGTCTGAAACCAGTCTAATTCCACAGAGGCTTTTTGTAGATACAGTGGAGATAAACCGTTTAGAAACCAGTTTTAATCACATCTTCCCATCTCTCTCAGTTCCAGTTCAAGTAGCTCAGGCTCCTCCTCCTCCAGTGGCTCCAGCTCTGCCTCCAGTCATTCAGGCTCCTCCAGCTCCCGCTCGTCTTCCTCGTCCTCCTCATCCTCCTCACCAAGCCCGAGCCGTCAGCGCCACAACAACAGGCGGCGGTCTCGTTCAAAGTATGAATTCATTTACTAATTGTGCTAGAAATGTATTAGTGCTTCTTGTGATTATTTTTTGGGGCATTTGTGCCTTTTTTGTTTGATTTGATTGCTAAAGTTCCTTCAAACTGCATCTTAAATTGTTAACTGAGGACATTTTTAATATCCTCCCACTGTAGTCTGGTAAAAGTCTTTATGTCAGCAAAAAGGAATCATGGATCTCATGGATGATTTAAATACTAACTGATATTGAAATGTCATTCCAGGTCAAAATCAGCAAAGAAGGATGACAGGGAGAGACGACGCAGGAGCCCCACACCAAAACCCACCAAGGTCTACCTGGGAAGACTCACCAGAAATGTTATCAAGGTGAAAGTTCAAATCACACTGCTGATCACAAGCACAGCAATAGTGGTTTACACTGCCTGGTCTGCTGAACGTTGTCTGAGGGATCAGAAAAGTACTTAACTCATATTCTACACAGGCATAGAGCATCAGAGCGGAAGGTGACACACAGAAAAGGCTGTGGATCAGTGTTAGTCAGTCGTCTCTCAGCCGGAAGGTCGGGGTATTGATCCCCAGCTCCTGCAGCAACATGTCTGCTGTGTCCTTGGGCAAGACACTGAACCACAGTTTGCTCCTGTTGAGGAAATTACTAAGACTTGACTTCATACAATAAGACTCAGTTGACATCAGATGGCTTACGTTGATGAAAGTTTATACAGAAGAAGAATACTCATGAGGAGACATGATTCAACATCACACTTCTGTACTCATGTCTTGCTCAATCACATCTGCAGAACTTTTTGAAAGGCATTGCATATATCCCAAAAGACATTATCATTATCAGGGTCGTGTCACGTTGACCCACCTAGACTAATCTGTGACGTCAATAACACTGGAGCAGACAATAAGTCTACCAAACATCCTTGCAGATATCAGGAAAAACAGTTGACACTCTCTAAGCTGTACTTGGTGTTCTAATCACAGCTGAACTCTGTCAGGTCTGATTGACATCAGAGAACAGTGAATAAACCTAATGACGTCTGTACATTATAATCTAAATAACTACAGAAATTCCACCACAGCTCCTTATGCTTTGTCTGCTTCGTCAGTAGCAGATGAATGTGTATGAATAGGATTAGTTTAACTCTGATGGACACTTTACAAAGCAGCGTCTGCCATCATTGTGTGAATGTGTAGCTGTGACCTGCGGTGTAAAAGTGCTTTGAGTAGTCAGAAGACTGAAAATACTCAAATTGATTTACCATAAAATTTTAGACTAAGGAAGCAACATTTTCCCTCAGACATTTTTAAACTTATTTTAGGGATAATATCCTTTGGAAAATGTAACATCTTCTTCCCAGCATTCAAAACGACGGGCATATCCTACTTTTGGAACAGAGCGCCTGTGATGTGAACAGCGCCTTTCTGAGAAAATAACCACTAGATGAACACGGGGCCTTACTCAACCTTTCCTGAATAAACATTGGACTTGTTACTAAAGACTTTTTATCAAAAGGAACACTTTGAATGACTTAGTTTTACAGTTTGTTTTTAAACAACCTTAAGCACATAATTCTCTTTATTTAAGGATATGGAATCTATTCTATACCATATCTTTTCATGAAATGTCTGAATTTAATGTGACATTTCTCAACCTTTCAAAGGATCACATCCAGGAGATCTTCTCCACCTACGGCAAGATCAAGATGATTGACATGCCTATGAACCGCATCCACCCGCACCTGTCCAAAGGCTACGCCTATGTGGAGTTTGAGACTCCTGAGGAGGCGGAGAAAGCCCTGAAACACATGGACGGAGGTACGGTGGAGCGTGGATGTCGAAAGTTGTGTCTGTGAACTGTATGAATGAGTGAGTGAAGCTGTGTAGACGAGACGTTAGGCTCAAAGACTGTGTAGTGATGATCGTGTTTGTTTGTGGCGCTCATCCTGAATGCTGAAATTAAAATACACTTTTTTTAAACCATGTTTAGATAAGAAACCTTCAGTATGTGATTTCCTGGATATTTTCCTCAGGTCAGATTGACGGACAGGAGATTACAGTCACAGCTGTGCTCGCTCCCACGGTGCGCCCTCCCCCTCGCAGGTTTTCCCCTCCCCGCAGGATGCCTCCGCCCCCACCAATGTGGCGGCGCACCCCACCCCGCATGAGGAGACGGTATGCATGCATGTGACGAATACTGGAAGTGTAAAAGATAAAGCAGTCTTTGATTTTTGAAATAAATAACGTGGATTAATATAATTGTATATTTTATCCGTGGTCGATATGAGATTCAAACATCTTAAAACACACAAAACTTGATTTTAACTTTGAATGACGTTGATTTTCTCTCTTAACTCTCAAGTCCTTTTCTGACAACATTTCTTTCTCCTCTAGGTCTCGGTCTCCACGGCGACGCTCTCCAGTGCGTCGCAGGTCTAGATCGCCTGGCCGTCGTCGGCATCGGTCTCGATCCAGTTCTAACTCCTCTCGCTAGTGAAAAAGGAAACCCCTCCTCCTCTTCCTCTCTGACTGATCTGTTGCTGTTATTTATATCTGTAAACAATCAAATATGAAAGACAAACGTCCTCTTTTTTTTTTTTTTATTTAAAACAATCCGAAACTTGAATGATGAAAACAAATAGCCCGGAATGATAACTGTACCCGAGTGAATTATTGAAGCCAGTGTTACTTTCCATAAATGAAACAAACACTGTTTAATGCTAAGAGACAACCGTATAATAGAGCTGAGATAATTAGCTGTAAGGTGAAATATAAAGAATGTTTACACTAAAATATCTAAATTATGTAAAAATTAACTAAAATTATTAAAAACTTTTGTTGAGTATTTACATCCCCTTTAATATTTCAGACAGTTTTCTGAAATCTTATAGTTGTAACAGGACGTGTCTTTCGTTGCGGGCGCATTGACACATGTTTATCGTTGCCATGGAAACACAGGATGTTTTTTTGGGTTGTTTTTTTTTACCCCGGATGTTACGTCAAAAACTGCGGGAACTGCTACTGAAAGCTGCCGTACTGCTGCTGTATGTGCTGCTGTGATAAAAAAGTCATGTAAATCACACTTTCATATATGGTCAGTAAAGATATTCTCTTCCTCAGGTCTGTTTCGCCCGTTCGCCTTGACTACGCAGAGTTGGTTTTCATCTGGGGTGGGGGGAGGGAGTAGAAGAGAGAATCACTCCCATGATTCCCCGCAAGCCTCGGCATGAACTTTTGTTATTGTTTGGATTGAGAGACTCCCTAGGCAGAATTTACATACTAGGGCTCGACAGATAAATGTTCTTTCAAGCCAATACCGATATCAGGGGAGCGAAAAATGTGGGGGAAAAAAATGTATACCGATAAATTGGCCGATATCTCTCTTCGATTTGTAGATATAGATAAACACATGTATTGCATTGATCCCTCGAATGCAGTTATCATGCTTGTTGTAATCCATACAGCACCCTCTGCTGGTGAAAGAGAACTGCTAGTTTAATACAACAAAAGTCAAATGAAATGATATTTGACTGGTGAATAAATCTAGTAATATCAGCACTTATCTGGGATTAAATTAGCCGATATTGATAGTCACTGTAAATGCCGTTATCGGCTGGTCGGTTAATCGGTCGGGCTCCGTTACATACTGTGCATTTAAAGCAGCTTTTACAAACATGGTGATTTTAGTAGTTTTCTGAAGGAGGCAGCTGATTTAAAAACTTTTTTTTAATTGACTGTTTGTGTAAAGCTACAGCAAAATGTGTTGATTCCACAGAGGTGAACGCTTGTGCCAAACAATTTATATGAAGATTCACTACTGACTGCTTCTTTCCTAAAGCATTTCTTACACTTCAGACTACTGTTCCACTTAAAGTGGGGGGAGATCCTCAAAAAGAATTAATTCCGTGACTTCCAGAAACAAAACTAAATCATCTGTCACTGCTTTCTACTGATTTTAGATGCAAAAAAAAAAATAGGAAGGAATGCAGGCGTTCATAGGTCACTGCACCACTTTAGGTAGCTCTTCCAATGAATCATGCTCTATTACGTCCCCAGGTTTGCTTTTGTACTGCTATTGGTCCACTCATTTGTTTAGGATGGATCTGTTCATCTTTATCCTATAGGGCTTTCACACTAAAAGAAAACTCCTGATATTTCCAGGAGCTGTATGAGTGAACGCAAACGGCCACATTTTTCGTTTCACACTTCCTGCTGAGCTTCTCCTGCAAGACCCCTACTATCTTTTTCTGCAGCAGGTCAGAGTGAGCTGAAGTGAGAACACAGCAGGATATTCTCTGGAGAATTCAGTTCGAGCCAATGGGAGGGAGAGTGATGTTTATATACTGTGACTACTGTGAAGTTCTTCTCCGCTCTTTTGTTGATAGTGTGATTCTGTTGAACTACTTTGATTTAAAGGGAAATATTCTCATTACGGCATCGTGTAGCGGACTCTGTTGCTTCATCCAGCTCATTTAACCCTGACAATTGTATTCCAGCAGAAGTCTCAGATTTAACTCTGACGACTCGTTCTTAACCAGTTCATTTGTAAAGTTTTAGACAATGAGTTTTGTGAATGCCTTTAAAGAGTATTTCTTTAGGAAGGTAACATGAAAGGAAATGCTTCTCTGCATATTATACTCTTTTATTCAAATATCGTCAGCATGGAGCAAATCACCTTCTGGGAAACATGATTTGATTTAAGTGTCTTGTGTTCTCTGCGCTGATCAGCAAGTTCACACATTACTTCAAGCGATCTTACAAAAATATTGAAGTACAATCTTTCTCAAATCAATTTTATTGTCAAGTGTTTTTAAATATTATTGATGAATAACAGATTTGTTCATAATTTAGGTTTAAATTTGCTCATGTATTTCTTTTTTTCTAACCGTCCATTTCAGAACATCCAAACAGGAAGTCATCTATGAAGGTGATATGTACAAAGCAGGGTTGTCATTTTTTATTCAAAGTTCGAACATTCAGGGGGGAGAAAGTCCGAGGTTTGTGTTTGAACGTTTCATTCGTTAGATTTTTTTTTTTTTTAGTTAACAAAGACTTATAGTTCCATCAGCAATTTCCTTTTTCTTCTTGATTTGTACGTGTCACACTGGTTTTAGTTGTAATAGTGTTGTATAAAGCTGTACTGATGCTACTGGCTTGACTTGGTGTCTCTGTGTGTGTTTCCCTCCACACAGATCATGTTTTGTATTTCCAGCTGTGGATGGTTCAGCTTGTGCTCAACCAAAGTATGATCGTAATAAACGTTATTATTTGAACAGAAGACAGTTTCTGTCATTGATTAAAAAATGTTACACATTCAAGTTATTTCTCTGTGGCACCTTAGAAAATATCTATTTTTTTCTGAGTAAGATTATTGTCATTGTAGTAGTATACAAAGAAGTTCAGTATGATGTTCTCAATAGAAGCTGAATTTTTTCTTTAAAACACAAGACAAGACAAAAAAGCAGTATATGAAACAATCAATGAATATTTAAAAAAAAAAAAGGCAGCAACATTCTATTGTGGATTTAGAAGTAAATCAAGTATGGCACATCAGAGGTCATTTGAAAACGGTCCAATCAGAGCAAGGGCCTTATTTGAATCTATTTTAGATTTAGGTGAAAAGACAAAGCACCAGCAAAATAATAAGAGAAGGTAGTCTGAACTCTAAGATTAGAGAATGAAGATTATTTTAACACAATTATGACTTACGTTTAAAAAATAAAGTGGATGTTTCACATGTGGCGCCAATCCTTTCAAAGAAATTCATATGTAGTATCAATAATTGGCCAGCAGATGTCACTATTGTAACAGAAACAAATACATTTTAAAAAACCAACATCAGCAGCTGAGAGAAACATATTGAGAGACGGTTTAGTTTAAAAACAAAATATTTATTGACACGTCAAAGCAGCATCTTCATATATATTACATCTGTTTCTTATATACATAAAAGGATTGATGAAAATCAAAGAGTACTCTGTACCCCCACACAGGGCTCACATTGTGACCATGAAGCTCCCCTTGGTTTTTGCAGGCCCACATTTTGAAACTCCTTGAAGCCAGACTGTTCCACCTCAGTCTCACAGCAGCCTTGGCCTCTCGTTGGGTTTTGAGGACTTTGTGTTGTTCAGGGTTTAGTGTCTTTGTCTGCTTGGCTGGGAGGTTGGTCCATCAGATCCTTGAATCCTAGTTTCTCCAGAGGCTCCTTGGCCATCAGCTGACTGGACACACAAGAGGACAAGTAAAGTTAAATATGTTTAACTAGAATAAGAAGACACGAGGATGATAAGATGTGTTGGGTGCCATTATTGAGGAAGTGTCTTACTTATTCATGCGGCACTCGAGGTAGTCTTTGGACTGCAGTCTGCACATTGAGTTGTCAAAACTGTTGTCTCTCAGGCATTTCATAAACGTCTCCTTGAAGGTTTTACACTCCCCTGAAATAACAACAAGACAATATGAAGCTCAATCTTACAGGTTCATGCTCTGATATGTTGAAGTTTGTCATAAAGTTAAGACAAGATTACATCTTGCCATGTGGTCGAAAAGCCCAAAGTGATATATAAACTGTGTTTCAATTGATAATTGCTTGATGTGTACAAAACTTGTTTGTTAGAAAGTATAGTAGATGTTGACTTGAGTCAGGTTTGAATGTAACCACAAACGACTGAGACAGTTTCCTCAATGCAACAAACCCGAGACTGTTTTATGCCAGTGTACCTGAAGAGGGAAGATGTTGAGCTGAATTAAAAGAATGTGGGTTATCAAACATATAAAAATGGAGCAGTGTTTGCTCTCTGAGAGACGTGATCTACATTTGCAGATTGTTTCTTGTTATAAACCATGAAGCAGTAGCAGGCAACAGCCCACTTAATGCCTAATATATGTTACTTTTATATGTTACACCAGAGGGATGCACGTCTGCTTTCAGCTGTTCTGAATGTATTTCACGTTTTCATATAAACTCTCGGAGCAAAAGGAGATTTGTGTTCTAACTAAGGATGCATCGGTTCAACATCGGTATCCAATCGGTGCATCTCCAGTTCTAACATCTTCTGACTGGATTTCATGAGAAGTTTTGTCTCGCTGCTGAAAGATGTCAATGTTTTAAACTGTTTGTTTAATTTTATAGCAATGGCTTTTTTCATTGCCCTTGTTAAACTTTCCATTTGGATTGTATTGATTGGCAATAATAACAGACACATAGATAAGTGAAGATGGAGGAAGAGTACGACAAGCCGTTCAGGAAATTAATATATTGAATGAAACTTTGAATATATGGAATGGAAGTCTGTAGTGTTATTTCAGCTTCCATCTCAGAAAGAAAATCTGTAAGTAAAAAATCCCCTAAAGCTGGATGCACAAAGTGCGCTCAGCAATGTTTTGTAGAATATTACTACTCATAAGCAGTAAAAGTGTTCCAATAATTGATTATCTTAAAGGTGACGCATTCTACATTCAAAATTATTCATATAATTTTGAGTACGAAGAGCTGTTTCAAAAAAGTTTTCACAGTCAACAAACTATTAGTATATTTCAGCTCATGTCATTTTGCAAAACCAGCATATTCAGCAGGGTGTCTTTTTGATGACAACAATGAAACTGGTGGATTTGGAGAATTGAAATCAGCTTCAATTCCATATATTCAGATTTTGTTCAATATATTCAGATTTTGTTCAATATATTCAGACTTTGTTCAATATATTCAGACTTTGTTCAATATATTCAAAGTTTCGTTCAATATATTAATTTCCTAAAGGGCTTGCCACAGTAGAGATAATCCATTATATGTATGAGAGCAGAGCAGCAACATCACACATGAGCCACAGGTTAGAAACAATTAATGGAAATGGAAAATGGACAAAAACAAAAGAAACATTCCACCTAGGACAAATGAGCCACTGTGACTCAGTACAACAGGGTGAGTTAGAGTTTATTATTTACTTTATTCATGGCTGTTGTATTGGCCCATAATGATGACACTGACATGAAGAGATCTTTAATAAAAGTGTATCATCATTGTGACATTTCACACATTTCTATCGACACAATCCATCATATTGGGTTAAGATTGAATTGTATCTGTACAGAAACAACAAGGTCAAACCTAAACTCACATTCTTCTAGGCATAAATCTGCAGCTGAATAACATCTATTCCTTATTTTAATTGTAGTTCTTTAGCCTTGGAAGAGATGTAATATGATGATGTTGTGTATTTCTCCATGAACATGCGTTGTTCTCTGATCCTCTGTGGAGTTGAGGCGACTCTGTTGTGTTCATGTGAAAAGGAGATTCTTCGTGTAAACTTACCGAAATGATCCAGAGGGAACGAGCCTTTGTCAGGAGCCCGAGGTTTAAAACTCTTCGACCCGAAATTCATAGCAGTCGACATCGTTTGAAGAGTCAAAAGTCCCTGAGAAGAAGCTTCCCGTGTTTTTCTGCGGCAACAGTAGCAGTGCTGGTCGCGTAAGTATGACGTCTTGTTTACGTCAGCCAGACATTAGTAGTGGCTTGAAGTCGCATCGATGGAGGATTCGATTTAAAAGTCCGATGAGTTTTAGGGGCGCTGGTGGGCAGTGGCTAGGGCGCGCGCCCCATGCATGGAGGCTGTAGTCTCAAGCGGGCGGCCCGGGTACGAGCCCCACCTGTGGCCCCTCCCCCGCATGTCATTCCCCACTCTCCCTCTCTCTCCCTGGTTTCCGACTCTATCCACTGTCCTGTCTCTCAATTAGAGGCACAAAAAAAAGTCTGATCAGTTTTGAATTAAGGACTAAAAATTATCCTCAAAATAATCAAACTAGTTAAAAAGTGTTTATTTTTATTATGTAAATAGGTTAACTATAAATAAACGCCTCTAGTCTATTGTAGGTCTACTATTGGACTACTAAGTATTTTTTCTCTAGACTAATCATTCTCAATCTGAAACTGATGATTTTAAACTGGCAAACTGAGAACACTGTTGAGAAATAACTAAACAGATACGAAAAATATCATCGCCTGCTGTAAATATTCATCCAATATTTAAAACATAGCCTTCTATTATAGGCTACCAAACACAACATCGTAGCCTATAAAGCCTGCAGCAATATTAATGCACAATTGCAACATAACACATTAAAATTGTGTAAAAACACTGTAAGGCAAGGCTATACAGCCATACGATTAACCTAAAATAATTATATATATATATATATGTATAGCCTATTTCACTGTCCGATTTTTATTCAGCAGCCTATTATTGATTTTGAAGAACATACAGGTGCAGGCTAGTCTCAGGTTTTTACATTTCCTATAGCCTTCTGTTTTATCATAGACTGTCAGTCACAGTATTTGTAACTGCACCAGATTGGCTAAAATCACAAAAAGGCTCAATACTGAGCATACTCGGAAATTTTGAGTTATAAATAAAAAAAGAAAAGAAAAGGAATGGAATGACTATATATATATATATATATATATATATATATATATATATATAGGCCGATGCAAAAGAAAAATGAAATGTTGCTCCTTTTGAATAGCCTAAATGTGTTCTGCTGGTTTACCACTGGATGTCTCTCTCACATAAGACGTGATCGAATGGAGGAGAGACAGAGAAGACAGGCGGAGGAAAGAGGAGGAGACGATGGTTACATATAGTCTTGATTACTGTGCAGTCAGGGAACTCGGTAATAGAGCAATCAGAGAGAGAGAGAGAGAGAGAGAGAGAGAGAGGGGGTTCTGTAACCTCGGCACAGTTCGTTCATTCTCGTACAGCGTGTTCACTCCTCCTCTGTCTCTCCTCTTCAGGTTTCGGATGTGACAGGTGATTCGGCTTGTCTGTCTGGCTGTGTGTAGGTCTGGTCGGGCTCAAAGCAGCGGATGTTCTGGGGCAAGGCTTTCACTCCCACCGCGGTGAGGCTGGACTGATAACACTCACCATGGCGCAGGAACCGGAGGGGAACAACCGGCTCTTGCAGGACGTGCTGACGAGACCGGGCAACGAAACGTGCGCGGACTGCGGCAATCCAGGTAAGCAGACCCCGGCTGATCAGAGCCGAGCTGAGCGCATCCGATGCTGGTGCATGCTCCTGCACTGAAACATTACGCACAAGGTTTAGTTTAGCGAGCCAACTGGTGCTTCATGACCCAAGAGTCTGGTCCAGATTTTGATGTAAAGAGGCCAGACAGGACACATAGGCTACCACCTGAAAACACCCTTTTTTTGCAGGTAGCCTATGTAACAGCACTATAGACTGGACTGTTGACCGCTATGCGCAATAAACACATAAAACACTGCCATGGTGTGAGGGTACAAAAAGCCACGTCAACTCACACCTTCACAGCTATTATTGCTGAAAAAGCCTGTGTTGTCTGCAAAGTGTCACCATGTTCCTCCCTATCAGCAGCCTCATCACAGCTTGGTGACTTTGCATTATGTTTGTGTCTTTTTTTTGAAGTCGCATGTTTTGTTTTGCAGGGTTATTCTCCTTTAAAATCCCTGAAAGCATTTCTCCATCCTCCCTTTCTGTCCTCTCTCTCTCTATGCTCCCCCCCCCCCTTTAATCATCTCTCTTCATGCCCCCCCCCTCCCTCCTTTCTTCTCACTGGAATGGCAATAAACCAGTAAGTGGCCACAAAGGCTCCAGTACGGGATGTACGCCCAGTGATTGGAGCCCAGTCTGCCCAGGAGGCCTCTTCTTTTTTGGCCCTGGTTACAGTTCCTTTGAGGACTGGCTGTAGCGGGAGCAGTGATTGGAGCCAGAGGAGCTCTCGCAAAATAAGATAGCTTTGTCCGAGCACACAGTCACTTGAGGAAGGATTTCATTTTTTGACCAAAAGAGTGCAATCAAAAATTGAAAAAAAAATGTTGTGGTGCTGATAGTTGCACAGTATCTGTCCCTTTACTTCTCATGGCCACAAATATTAGAGAGGTAGAGATCAACAACGACTCGATGGATTGTCATTAAACACAGTAAAGCAATCATGGGCCCCAGTGGTTGAATTACGCTATCTTCCTACCTTACTATTCTCCAACAACACCTTCAGGTTCAAATACTTGAAATATCAAATTTGAGGGCTGGGAATCTTTGGGCGTCTCACGATTCTTTTGTTAGCATAATACAGTATGTGTCTTAGGTTTATACTTCTCTTGTAAGAGGCACTGTAATCTGAATATTCTGTAAGAGCCAGCATGACACATTACCAATCTCCCCTTTTTTATTCACTTTGACATTTTATCAATTAACAATTTTAGTCGTCAGACTAATTCCTTTTTTTTTAAACATTCATAATCACTTTTGTTTTGAAAGGAGTAGACCTCAACAGATGTATTTCAGGTAAGAACCACGTGAACCGTGGACACTGAGGTTAACTTCAATTTAAAACAAGTTCAGCAGCACCTGAGCTAGCAGTAGCTTTGGCTTAATGTCCCTCCTGATGGCTTGTGTTTACAAAAGAGCGCTGATTCCTGATTTGAAACTGCCACCATGGCTCAGTGGTGGAGTCGGTCATCTCTCAACCAGAAGGTTGGGGGTTTGATCCCCAGCTCCTGCAGGCACATGTCTGATGCGTCATTGGGCAAGACCCCAAGTTGCACCTGCTGCTTCAGCTGAGATGTATGAATGTCCAGAATGTGATTAGTTACTTCTGATGGTCACTTTACATTTACTCTACCATCAGGGTGTGAATGTGTAGGTGTGACCTGCGGTGTAAAAGCGCTTTGAGTAGTCAGGAGACTAGAAAAGCGATATACAAGCTCATCCATTAACTATTTACCTTTTTTTTTTTTTTTTTACAATTACAATTATTGGGTCAATTTGTTTGTAGACGCAGATTAATCCATTTTATGGTGTGAGGTTAGTTCGCAATGCTAACTTGAGGGTTCATCATTTGAGTCATGTCGCTCAGTTCACAGTTAGTGTAAAAAGAGTGACCAGAGATCGATGTGAGAAAATGTGATCACACTTGGAGCCTTCTTGGTGGTGATAGTCATTGTTGACTTTTAGGGGTTACCCACATCAGTTGAGTCCAGCTTGGATACCTTTTTTATCCCAGGGCAATTTGTTTTTTACAGTCGTAACAAGATCATGAATTGGAAGAATTTTGGCAAATTAGGGATCTCTGTAATCTTCCAGTCAAAATATAAAATTGCTGCATACTTTTGTTGATTAAAAAAAACAATAATACTGCCAGTCCCATCAGCCTCAGCTGTGGTTTGTATTAAGCAATATGTATCCACAACTGTGTCAAAGTATAGAGCTACATTATTCTGACATGGCTAATTGTCACCCACACAGCATTTTCCCCTTTAAATACAGCTGTTCTTAACCCACAGTGTCGATGGAAAACATTAGCTCTAAATGTTTCCCTGCTGAGATAGTTTGCCAGTTTTGCTGGCAGATACCTATTACACCTTTGCAATCATTACATAGTCAAATTTAACCCCGATTAAGCGGGGGTGGGAAAATGCTCTCAGAGGCTGGTAAATGCTGGGTGATTGATTCATCAGAGAAAAACTCTCAGCTGGTACAGTAAGCCTTATATGCGCTCTTTTCCTCAGTGTCTGCTGAGATAAGCTTGAGCAAGGCATTTTAAACACAACAGCAAGTGAAGCTGCTTAGTGGCCAAATATAAATCCATCAATTCCTTTCATGCACATTCATCCCCCCTTTCAGCATCGTGCTTATTCCAAGAAATGTCAGGAGAGCAGGTTGAACCCATGAGAAGTGTAAGGGTAACTATCCATCAATCACAACGGCAACTTTCTCTCGACCATTCCAACAGATCAAGCATTCACAGGCTCATAATTCACAACTTACAAAAGTAAAGATGTGAATTATTAATGCAGAATCCATGGCTCCTTCCCAGATGGAAACGGCCGGGATCTTATTTCAGTGGCTTTGTCGGAAAAGCATCACTGTTCCATTACAGCTAAAAACACCCCACAACAAAGTAAACACACAAGCACTGAACAGGAGTAGGTGTAAGCTAAAGTTAGTGAGAGGGCGGTGAGGAGGATAGCTACTAAGATATAACAGGTAATAAAGTCACATCAGGTTAAGCAGATTTCTTTATGTAGCATCAGGTCACAACAAACGTTGTCATATTACACATTAAATACACGACAATCCCACCATTATAATGCAATTGTTGACCACAGCAAACAAAAACTTTCTCATATAAAAACCTCAACAGGACTCTATGGGTGGTCTGCAATTAGCTTTGACTGGCTACGTCAGAGAGAGAGAGAGAGAGAGAGAGAGAGAGAGTCAGATAGACAGAAACAACACAAATTAAAGATAACACAGATATATAATATTTATGAATATTTGTTTTATATAAACATGTATAATGGTAAATGGACTTTTATAGCACTTTTCTAGTCTTCTGACTACTCAAAGCTCTTTTATACCGCAGGTCACACCTACACATTCACACACTGATGGTCAAGGCTGCTATGGAAAGTGTCCATCAGAATTAACTAATCCCACTCACACACATTCATACACCGCTGACGAAGCAGCAGGAGCAGTGTCCTGCCCGAGGACCCATCGTACATGTTGTTGCTGAAGCTGGGGATTGAACCCCCAACCTTCCAGTTAAAAGATGTCTGACTCTACCAACTGAGCCACAGCCGCCCAACTTGTAATGAGAATTGTTATCTGGGTGGAGCCTCTGGACCAGAGGATTACGTGGTGTTCTCTGGCTCTCAGATCCTTACACAGCTCAGGGTAGTCTGGGTCTGGGGGTCAGTGGTTTTTAGGTATTTATACAATTTCAAGCTCCCGTTTTGTACTTTGAACGAGGGCGGTATTAGCCAAGTTCTGCTCTACATGCTTTTGTTTTGTGGGTCTTTCTTTGAAAATGTTAAGAGGTTCTTACAGAGCAAGTCTTTTCATTTTGGTCCCCAGATCTTACTGCCACACAAATTGATTTGGTATTCAAAATTAATTAAATTCAGGGAGAGGACAGGTGATGTGGATCGTTGGTTTGCGAATTCATTCATATATAAATTGTAAAGAATTGGACTGAGGTTACGTCCTTGCCTCACCCCTCGACCCTGAGAGAAGCAGGCTGTGTAATGACGCAGAGTGTAATTACCCGTGTGATACGAGGTTACAGAAAGACACAAGCACGACAGACCAAGTTGACATGCTTGTTAGTCCTCGCTAGTTGTTTTCAAGATATTAAAACTGTGACAATATGAATGAAGTCAGCCAGATGTGTCAATAATAAAACATCTAGTTCCAAGTTAAAAAAGGTGTATACATATACCATGTTATGATAGCTGAGAGCTGAGGACATCCAACATGGCCACCGGATTGGTGTGTGAAAATCTTGTCTGACATACTTAAGACAGACATCACATCACCAGCGGTGACCTAGCTGTCCTCCCTCACTCCCGTCTTATCTTCCATCACAGATACAACATCCCCTAAGCCGAGAGAAAGCCTGCTCTAATTGGTCTGAAACCGCACAAATAGGCAACTCTGCTCATGGATTTTTACGCTTAGTCATTCTTACTCTGCCCTTCCTTACCTTTGCCTTTCTTTTTTTTTTTTCTCCTATTTTTCTCTCCTGCTGGTGTGCTCAGATGAGACCGCCAAGAGGCTGAGCTGGGAGCTTATACAGCAGGCCGTTCTCTTTAGCTCAGCAGCACTGAGGTTCTGCCCTTCGCTAAGGACGCGCACACCAGTCATCCCCTCCTGAGAGAAGTCTCAGCAGTCCTCTGAAGATACGAGGGACGGTGTTTGTTGAATAGCAGAAACGATAATGACATGGAGGAGGCGTAGGGAAGGGAGGGGGGTGGGGGGTACGGCATGGCAGCCCCCTCACTGCCTTCCAGACTGTTCTTCAATGATTTTTAATGCCCCTGTGAGCAGTTTTATAAAACAGACTGCAATTTAAAGCGATTCCTTTTTATGACCTGCAAAAGCAAACCGGACCGTTGGTGAGAAGATTGACTATTTCTTCATTGACGTTTTTAATGCCTGTAACAGCTGCCAGGGGATAGGTGTCAGATAAAAAGAGTTACTGAGGATTCAGCCTCTTTTTTGTTTTTATAATTCCACAACACATTATCTACAATGACTGCTGAAATCTGACCGCAGAAAGAAAGCAGGCTTACTGTAGAAAACACCACCTACACATGTACAGGAGAAGATTAGCAAAGGAAAAAAAAAGGCGTTCTGTATGGGGGTAGATGTTGGGGGTGCTTTTGTTACGTTAAATAGTCCAACATTGCGATTGTTAATTCTGTATTGTGCATGAACACCGCTCCACACGTCAGGTGAAATGTTCTGTTCTTTACAGATGTATGTGCCTGATAGTGGTGCGCCTTACTTTAATTGGAATCTTGTGATCATGCACGACCTTCTTCCACAGAGAGGTGGGAGGATGAGAGTCGGTTTATAATGTCTAAGTTGTACAACTCTGTGAATATAATTAATCTTTTTTTCTTCTTCGCCGGCTCGTAGCCTCGCAGCCGCGAGAGGATAAGCATGAATGAGGCAGCCCGACGGTCCAATTTGAGCGTGCTGAAATCTTTGAGATTGTATGAATGATACGGCTCAAATGAGAAAGATTCAGACGCACTGAAGAGTCCGTCCTGGCTTCTAACAGCCTTTCAGTTTAAAAGGAAAACATTTATGGAAAAATACTCAAAGGACATGATTTTCATAGATAACACCTGAACCTGTATTTTGTACAGCACCTGATGGAAGAGCCCAATCGTGCTTGAAACGTTTTGTTCTTTAATGCATAATACAGTAAATAAATAAGTAGGCCTACGTTTGGGAGCCATAGTGATGCGAGTCTTTGTGCATCATACGCTCACACATACAGCTGCCCTGCAACTACCAGGAGTTTTTTCAGCAGTTTTCTGCAAGTGTGAAAGCCCTAATAGTGATTTTTTTTTTTTTACCACTCAGCACCTAAATAAGTTATGTTCGTTTAGTTTGCTGACTTTTTCTGTCTCTATTCGTCTCCATCTTTCCACACTTTCTGTAGATGCCAGTTCGACATGAGTCTGTTTGTACTCAACGTTTTCCTCCTCTTAAAGGGCAGTTTTTTCTTCCCCTCCATAATTGCAAATTGTTGCTAAATGCTATGCTAATGATGGATTAATGATGAGTCTGTAAAAAGTGAAACAAAGAGTACGTTCTGGACCGGCTCTGCTTGTGAAGTGTCTTGAGATAACATTTGTTGTGAATTGACGCTATATAAATAAAGATTGACTGACTGATTCATAGTACGTAAAGCAAATACAGACACACTACAACTGATTCAAAATAATATGTCAAATGTTCTCCGACTAAAGTCTGTGCTGGTGCCTAAGAGGTCAACACGATACATGAGAGGGAGACAGCTTCTGATATCTGACTGACCCCACAACGGCACAAGGCTCTGATAGACTGCCCAGACGTACAAATGATCTGCAGAAAAGTGTCTGCAAATTCTCACAGGCACAGAGGCTGTCATTGTATAAATGTTCCTCTCCTTCATTCTCCTGCATCTGGCCTGCAGCAACCCCACAGGCGCTTCTTTCTTCAAGCTTTTGTGGTGATAAAAAAAAAAACACACAATATTGTCGTGTATCCATAAAACAAGGCCCGTAAATCTTGCAAAACGTGCATCTTTAGGAGTGGGAGATGATGTGCAGCACCTCGAGGAGACAACCAGGATATTTTTTAAAACCTCCTGTTCACATATTGTCTGCAGCAATTCTGCAGAGAAATGCCTTCAATGTACATTTAGAGGGGGAAGCCCTGTGCATGTGTGTGTGTTCATGCGTCTGTAAGTATGTGGTTGGTTGATTGCTGTCTGCTTTTCTGTAAGGCCTGGCTCAGACAGCGATGACATCATTGCTGGATGGCTGGTTGTGTGTGTTTTGTGTCAGCAGAGTTGTGTGTAGGTGTGTGTGTGTGTAGGTGTGTGTGTGTGTGTGTGTTCATGCTACAGGGAAAAAGGACATGTAACAGAAAAAAAAAAAGGGAGAGGTTGGATTTCTGCACATTACTACAAGCATCTATCTCAAGTGCTTTGTGGTCCATCACGATTCATAAAGATTAAACGATGAGTTGACATTTATACAAATATCGCCCACTTGTCATGGGTTTGAAGTGGTGAATCGAAAAAGAGATTATAATGGATTTCAGTAATACCCTCCGGGTATCTTGTGAGTTAATATCATCCCTCTGCCTGAGAAAGAGCAAAAACCCTCACTGCCTTCCCTCCTTTCCTCTCCTCCATCACCTCCTCATCTCTGAACCCGTCCTCTGCTGCTCCGTGGCATCTCCATCTACGCTTTCTCCAGCCGTAAAAGGACAGAGAAATTCAAGAACATTTTTTCTTTCACCCTTTCCCTCCCTTTCTCTAACTCCACTGGTTCTCCCATGATACCCTTAAGCATGGCACACTGGGTGAGCATGTGTGTGTTCACATGGTGCACCACACTGAGGGCCTCCTTGTGTGAAAATGGCAGCTTCAATAGAGGGTGAGAGGGAGAGAAAACGTGGTGGGGATGATATTAGAGGCTTATGTTGAAATCCACTATGCAGGCAGTGTTGTAAAATGCAGCTCATAGTTTTCAGTGTGAAGATGTTTGTTTGCAATTTAAACACATTTTTAAAATACTTTAGACTTTAGACATATCTTTTTCCATGTATATGTTGCTATTATTAGCTTGTATAGTGCTTTTCTGGTTGTCTGACTGTTTAAAGCCAGAAAACTAGAACCCCAGGAAGAATAGCTTAGCTCTCGGGTACAACTGGGGATCCTAAAAAAATACATAAATAAATAAATAAAGCACTTTTACTTCGCAGCTCATACTTTCCCATTTGATGTGATTATTGTAGACAGGTGTAAATAAATGCTCTGTATTCATGTGTGTGCCCACAAACCTTCGGCCACCCCTGCACAAGTCAGTCCACGTTTTGGTTGAAAATGTATGATGTGTTTGTTTGATGTGTCAACTCAAATAACCATTTCAAATTCTATATTTGTTCCAAGTAAATCTAATAAAACACAGAATGATGGCTTATATGATGTCATCACTTAATTTAGCTACAAAGCTGTCTTTAGTGACACTTAAACTAAGCACCGAGGCAAAGGAAGGGCCTTGAGTTAAATGCTTATTTCAATACGTTAACAAGCAGAGGTATAATACTAGGACTCTTAACTGGAAGATCGAGGGTTCGATCCCGGGCTCCTGCAGCAACATGTCCCAGTTTTTCATGGATGCAGTAGTATCAGTATTAAAGTAAAACCAGCAGGAGGGATCTGAAACTGGGCATTAACTTGTATTCAGCAAGTCGTTTGAAGTCAACTCAATAATTTATCATCCTGGACTTCTGCCAGGAGAGAATCACACAACGCTTGGACAGACAAATATGCTGTATATACTTTTGCCTCGAATTTTGTTCATTTTTCAAGTGTGACAAGAAAAGATCAATTTAAGAGTTAGATCTGGCAGTCCTTCAATCTTAATGTAAGAAATAAAGGCTCCAGATGTTTGGGTTTTTTTTTAATAATAAAGTAAACTGTGGTGTTTTAGCCTGCGCTGTCCTTGGTCCTGAACTGTTACCGACACTTTCTGGCAGAGCAAGATGTGTGGATGAAGGAAGAACGGTAGCACTCGGTTTGGTTGTGGTCTCAACAATGAGGCAAATCTCTTCCTGGTTATCTAAAGAGACTGTGGATAGAATATCTAACACTATACGCCTACTGATACACTCGGAGAAGTATCACAATCAACCGTTGAGTAGCTTAAAGAGGAGATGCTTACTTTCTTTTTGATATGATCAAATTCACACTGCCAAGGCATAAACTTATTGTTCCTAGTCCACTGATATTCTGTCTGTATGTCAGCATCACTTAAATCTTTGTGCTCTGACAACGACTCCATTCTATGCCTGATGAGTTTTCATTTCTTCTTTCAGATTATCTCTACCTTTAGGTGCAAAACGGCCATACTTCATTCACACCCTCCCCTAAACACACACCTGAAACACTTAGCCTACTTCTCAATACAACCTTGAACTGTCTCTGGCACACTCTAACGTTATTAGCATGAACAGACTCAAAGTGTATGTGTGACTGAGTGACTCAATGTATCCTTGCTGAACACCCACGGATGGTTCTGCCGTGTCACATTTGATAGAGAAAGCCTCTCTGGTCTTCCTTTTTTTCATGTTCTTTCTGGGCAAGGCTGTTAATTTCTCCAGCTCTGAGTGTGTGCGTGTGTGAGTGTGTGTGTGTGTGTGTGTGTGTGTGTGTGTGTGTGTGTGTGTGTGTGTGTGTATGTTGTTAGTTGTGATCAGATCCCAGGATGTCTGTTTCCTGGCTTTGCAGCTTTTCCCCTAAATCACATTTTTGCTGTCTTGTTCCCCCACGTTCATGAGAGCAGAAACTCCCTTGAAATATTTGTTTTATTTACTTTGCTCCTATTACCTCCTGACAGCGCCACCATCAGCACTTTTAGTTATTATAGCCTGAACCCTGCACTGATGCTCCTGTTGTTGCTGCTCTGTCAAGCCTCTATCTCCTTCTGATGCACTGCTTTGCTCGATTTCTTTCCCTCTCCTTTTGTGTTTCCTCCCAAACTAACTTTCCCGCCCTTTTACGCCTCCTGTTCCACATTCTCTTTTGTCTCCTCCTTTTCCCTCCGCAGAGCCGGACTGGGCGTCGCTGACTTTAGGTGTGTTTGTTTGCCAGGCCTGCTCACTCCTGCATCGGAGCATTCCCCACATCAGCCGGGTCAAGTCCATCCAGGAAACATGGGAGGCAAGTGATGTGGAGGTAGGAGGAAGCATACTTAACACATTTATACTGCAGCAATAATCCAAAATGAACGGTCTCTATTTTTACTGCACAAGCTGTTTCAACATCATTGGGGTAGGGGTTGATAGTTTGTGGTTTTGTCATCAACATAAAACAGTAGTCTCTTATGTTCCCCTTTTTGGTTCCAAAATTAGCAGAGCGTGAAAAGTAGAATTTCACACCACTGGACTGCAAGTGCTGTAGTAAAAAAAAGCGAAGTCAAGAGATGAAAAAAAAAAGTGTAAAAGTATTTAGAGTCATCCTGCTGGCGGTGAATCATCAGAGCAGCTCTGTACTGTAAGGGGAATGAAGAGAGAACTATCTGATGTAAGATCAAGCAGCAACCTCCAGTCTTGAAAATCAAAGCTGTAAAATCCTGCAGTTCGTCGAGGGTCTGCTTGAGGCTGGCTCCAAGAGACAGGAAGTCACAAACACACCACTTAACTGTAGAAAAATTAACATGTTTACCATGTTTACCCCGGTTTATTTATTTATTTTTGAGCCATATTTGCCTTTATTGTATAAGACAGGTGAAGAGAGACAGGAAATGTTCGGAGGTGAGAGAGAGGGATGACATGCAGCAAAAGGCTGAGGTCGGATTCAAACCGTTTTTTTACATTGCGTCTTACCTAAGGAGACTCCTGGAGCCCCCCCCCTCTCTCCTGTCTGGCAGGGATAGTCTCCTGCTGTGAGGAGCATATATGAACAGCCGGGTCAGGAGAATATCCACAGCAGTCCTCCTGAAATTAACTAGATATTTTCACTTTTTTAATTTGTTAAAACTGTTCAGATGAGAACACTTCAATTTGCACAAATGATTCTATAAATATAATTACCTGAAATGTCTCCAAAGTCAGTTTACATGCTCATTGGGTGCAGCAGTTAGTAATTGTGCATATTTAGTTATGTGTGAAGTGTATGAATTGGCATAAAATATGGACAATAAATATTAAATAAGGAGCTCATGGTAATACCGAGACTTGATTTGGCCCGTTGTGTTTTTGTTTCTATAGTAACAAGCCAGCCAGGAGACATTTTCTCGATAATGTAACTGAAAACAAAGCAGTGCTGGGAAACATGCTGATTTTAAGGCGATGTGATGGATTGTTGAAACTGGAAGCAGCTTTGTTTGCTGACATGCTGTAGGTGCATTTCTCACCCACCCGACTGCTGGCTCATGTTCAGCGTGTACACATGGGAGGTCGCTGTGATTGGAAACTGGGAAACAAAGGACTAGAACAGAAATGAAATGTCAGCGGTAATCTATGGCTTCTATCAAATAGTTGAACATTATTTGATTTTGTTTTTTATGCTTAGCTGTTATTTGTTATACTTTTGCTGGAAAATGAGTTCTTATCTGTTCTTGAAAAGTCAGTTTTGCTGACCTGACGTCTGACCTCATGTAGTGATCAATAACATTTCATTTCATTTGTTGGACTTGGACTTTCCTAATATGTGTTCAAAGATACAAACTGGTGTTACCTTTCTAACATGTCCCTAGCAGAAATATGTCAGCAAGAAATATGAGTACATTTTGTGCGATTGCCGTTTGTAGGGCGAAAATGTGTTTTTCTACTTTCAAGTTGCCCCTCGGATGAATCCAGTCAGTACCTAACACCATCGCTGGGTGACAAACAGGACTATGTGGGAGGTGAAGCTGAGATGAGTCATTAGACAAAGCAGGAGATGTGGGAGGGCACTAATTGGGGTGCAATGGGGATTTGAACTTAACGGGCGGGTAGGAAGGTGGTAAATGGGGATGAATGGATTTTTTTCTGCTCTGGGTAAAACTGGCAGTGAGTCTGTTTTTAATCTCCCCTTACGTAATGGTTTTATTGGAAGAGTTAAGGGTTGATTCTTGGATGCCAGAGTTTATTCTTGAGACTTCAGGAGCTGCTGTGGCCCCACTCCAATTAACTCCAATAGTCAGAGGATCAACATTTGTCTTAAAGCTACAACAGTTCAGTTTATCAAGATGCCTATAGTGTTCTACATGGACCTAACTAATGTGTAGGCTGTTATGTTTTAGAATTGATTTTACAATTATTGTATTGGTTTTTAAAGCTCTTAATGGTCTTGCTCCCACCTATTTATCACATTTGCTTTTAACTTATGAGCCCACCAGAGCCCTTAGGTCTTCTGGAAGTGGTCTTTTAGTTGTTCCAAGTGTCCAAACTAAAACCTACGGACATCTTTTATTACCACGTCTGTGGAACAGTTAACCTGGAGACCTGAGGGCAGAACACAATGTAAATAACTTTAAAAGCAAACTCAAGACCAACCTTTATGGTCTGGCTTTTAACTGAATCTAGTTTTATCTCGCTTATTTTTTTAAGAATTAATGATAATGTTTCCTCAGTCCGTCAGTACCTGTTTTTTATCTAGTCATTTCTTACCTTAGTTCTTGGATTGTGGGGTAAGGGTGGGGGAGGGAGTCATGTTGTTGCTATTTGATTTGTTTTTATGTAAAGCACTTTGTGATACAACGCTGTATGAAAAGTGCTATACAAATAAAGTTTGTTTGATTATGGCTACATAAAAGTTATATTAAAATAGGCCCGACCGATATGGAATTCTTGGGGCCGATACCGATCTGATACCGATATATCGACCGATATCTTTCTTAGATCTATGTTTGATCTGAAGAGAAAGATATACAGTATAATGAAGACAAGGTGGTCACTGAACTGGAAAGTAACTGTGCATACGTGCGTCACCGCTCGACACTCTGTAGAGTAATAATGCTTGCTGTAATACATACAGCTCACTCTGCTGGTGAAAGCTGGGTTACTATGATACTCAAATGAAATACAATTTGACTGGTGAATAAATCAAGTAGTATCGACGCATATCTGCATATCTGAAATTAGCCTATAGAATAGTCACTGGATAGGCTAATATCGGTTGATGTTATCAGCTGGCCGATTAATCGGTCGGGCTCTGATATTAAATAATCTGAACTACTGCTAAAAAATGTTCAGCTTGTGAAGCATTCAATATTCAAACTGGGTAAAGAACCTTCAATCAGAGGTGTAAGAGATTTTGAAAATGTCATAAAAAATGATCTAATGAATTTCCTAATCTCTTGAAAAGGTATTATCAAACATCTTAAACTTTTAATCAATATATCAATCAGTCAAAAATCAATCTGGAGTACAGTTATAAATAGATGGTACAAATGTAAAAATAATTTGTTGCCGCTATTTTACCTTTGAAATTAAAATAATAACACTACGTCTTTTCCCAAAGCAGGCAGAGGACAGTGGAGATGTGTTGAGGGATTCAGCCTGCTGGATTGGAGTCAGGGATTATTCTTTAATGTAACACACAATGGAGGGAACGAGAGCAGAAGCCAGACAACTCCCACTGCAGTGTTACCAGTTACCTATAAATCCCATAGCATTGATGGGGCCTTTTTGTCCACTTCTATCACAGTTCAGATTTAGCATATCATCTGTTGCCGTCATTTATGATTATAATAACATGTTATTTAATTTTCATTCTGACGATCTTATTTTGTTCAAATTCCTTGACTGCTGTCATGTACATTTCCTGATAGTGTTTGTGGATAGCATTAAGTTTCAGGTTTCAAAGGATAAGATGTTTTTACTTTTACTTGCTGTGGTTTTATTTTGAAATCCAAGTGACGTCAAAAAATATTCTAAAATCTCGTACTTTGAAAACATATATCTTTACAACTTCAATGTATTTACTAGCAGCATGGTGTACTTGCACTACAATATCTCACCTGTTAGATGATATAAGATTAGATGTGACTGTGACCAGGTGGCGTTGTCCTGTCTCTCTTTCAGCTGGTGGCTGCTCTCGGAAACACAGCAGCCAAGGCCAAATATGAGCAGAAAGTCCCCGCTTTCTACTACAGACCAACACACACAGACTGCAAGTAAGTACTCATTCTATCAGTCGAAGCTATAAAAACACCTCGTTTTGGCCATGCTTCTATCATTTGTAAACCAGCCAATTGCTTTGCTTATAGATTAAGTTCATACTTGTAGTGTCACAGCCAAGAGTACAAAGGGAATTGTATTGCATTCCCTCCTTCTTTTTCTGTTCTGGATCAAGACTTAGTAATATGTGTGCAGATCAGGCCAGTATCTGAGTGTCTGAGTGATGTGACTGTATTTGTTTTTCTCTGCCTCCAGGCTGCTGAGAGAGCAGTGGATCAGAGCCAAGTACGAGAGAAATGAGTTTGAGTTTATCGAGAAACAGGAGCCTTACTCTTCAGGTATGTGCCCGCTGAAACTACTGAACTACTATTCTTACAGAGACCCTTATCATGGGCAATTTTCTTTTATGCTGAGAGATAGACAACTTTTTGAAGGTCTCAGTCTTGTCTTGGAATCGAACGCATTTTATTTTTTGGTCTTGTCTCGGTCTCAGACTGGGTGGACTCTGGGTTTTACATCAAGACCACCACTCATAGGCTAGATTTCCACGTCATCACTGTGATTAGAAGGAAGGAAGGAAAAATAAATTATTTCAAGTCATTTGTAGGCCAGGTTACCACAACCTTATTAGTGTTAGGGTCTAAATGAGAGACGCCCCCTGAACACAGAATGAGGATTTTTCAGTGATACTTGTGGTCTCGATCCCTAAATGTCTTGGTCTGGTCTCGGACCACTCTGGTCTGGGGTATGTCTCGGTCTCTGTAAGTGTGGTCTTGACTTCAACACTAGTCTGTGTGATCTAGCCAAGTGACAGTTATTCAGCTGAGCAAGAGTACTGGAAAAAGAGAAATCGCCGGCCTGTTGAATTTTGCAATCCATACATTGGGGTAATAAATTGGGGTCATCTGATTTTTTTTTTTCTTTAAATTTGTCAGATAAGCGTATAACCCATTTTGAAACATGTCAAACACAACTTGCCAGGAAATATTTTAAAACGTCATGTCAACATTCTGAGGAAGCCTTACAACACCTCTGTGACATTAAAGTTAAACTTAGTCTAAATAAGAATAACGACGAGTGAATCATCTCTGCTTCTTACTCCTGCTTTGTGTGTATGTGTCTCTACTAGTATACATTTCACGTTTTGCTGAAATGGAGCTTCCTCATAGGCTTGCAGTGACCTCATCCATTTATTGTCACAGGGTAGAACCTCACACACACGCACTCACACACATGCAGTGTAATAATAGGAGTCACTTGAATATATTTTGTGTGTGGTCTCTATCCTTCTTTTGTAAGCAAGTGCATCCCATCAGCGTAGTGTATGTGAGTGAGTGTGTGTGTGTGTGTGTGTGTGTGTGTGTGTGTGTGTGTGTGTGTGTGTGTGTGTGTGTGTGTGTGTGTGTGTGTGTGTGTGTGTGTGTGTGTGTGGTGTCATTGGGAAGCTGAGATTGACGACTGGCAGTAACGAATGGCCTCCACAGCAGCCAATGTCAATATTGATCCAGTATGCAAAGAATAGGAGGAAGAAAACGAGTGTCAGGCAAGAAGGACGGGGGGGGAGGATAAGGAGGGTTATTGATCGATGATGTAATGCCTGTGTAGGGGAATGTTTCATGTCAGAAAGTCAAAACCACAAAAACAAGCAAACACACATACAAAAGGAAACAAATACAGAATAGAGCGAATCGATGGCAGCGGAAGATTGAAATGAACACCAAAAAAGGAGAAGTAGATATAAGTGTGCATGAATACAAAAAAAGTAAACATATTCATGATATAAAGTTATTTTTAACTCAGAAGTTTCCCAGAACTTTACAGTACATTGTTTTATTGCTTTTCGTTTCGGTATGATAGTTTTCCACTTCCCTCTTTTTAGATTTATTTTTGAATTGCAGCAGGTCATGCAAAAAAAAACCAAAAAAAAAACTAAGACACCAAACAAAAGAGGGACAAAGTCAGCAGCTAGCTAGAGAACAGAGGTTCATACTTAACAGCTTTAAAAAAAAATATTTCCTTTGGAAGTTGGAGGAGACAAAACAGAGCGGAAAATGAGTCAGAATTTTGGACTGGGACAGACGGGTGGTTAAAGATACGTCTTGAAATTGAATGCATTTGTTGTTCCTGTCTGCTGGAAGTGGAAATGGGGGGCAGTTTGTTATCATGCTCACTTCCAGAATAAGGTTATAACATATCATTTTGTAATTTGATAGCATGTTCTGATACCCCAAAGGAGCCTGGATTATTTTCAACAGTAATTTGACACAGCCTTGAAACCATTTCTTCCTTTTTCAGATTTCAGTCCCACCTTACTTCCCTCTGACATCTTCTGACCATTAATCTGCAGAAACAGATCCAGATTTGAAAGAAATGTAATTTTGTAAATGGTTAATGGACCTGATCTTACAAGTGTTTGCTCTGTCCTCTGAGTCTGCTACTGACAATAATTGGGCATGTAGTTTGAAAGCCCGAGCCACCCAAGCCCTCCCAGAGAGGGGCGTGGTCAAACACAGCTCATTTACATTTAAAGGTACAGGCACAGAAACAGCCTGTTCTGAGCAGGGCTGAAATAGAGGGGTTTATAGACATGCTCAAAAACAGCATCAGAGTAGATTTATAACAAGAAACTCCACATACATGTTTTGGGGAGCACTGAGACTTTGTTGAACTGGTTGAAAAGGAGGATATAAGTGTCTTGCTCAGGGACACATCGGACATGTGGATGCAGGAGCTGGGGATCGAACCCCTGAGAGACGACCAACTCTATTAACTGGGCCGTGGCCGCCCCTTGTGATGGAAATAGAATTCAAAAGAGAGTAAGGCAGCAGTGTAGGCAGATAGTTTAACCAAAAGAGAGTGAGGAAGAAGAAAGCATTACAGGCGTTAAAGTAGAATACCTATAAAAAATAGGAAAGGGTTTTTGGTGCATAAACAACTTTAAAAAAAAATCCTAGTGCTGTCTCATGCTGCAGTTCCTGCTTACTCCTGCCCTCTCTTGTTTTTGATATGGTGTAGTGTGTGTGTGTGTCTCTCTCTCCCTTCCTTTTGTAAATGCGATATCAAGTGACTGCTTTTTCTAATAACTGAAATATAATTTTACACCAACGTGTTACAACAGCTCATCATTACCATTATGAAAAACCAACTGTTTATAATCTCTCATCTGCTCGACCGGTGTTTGATGCCAGCTCTCTCTAATCACACTTTCTTTCCTTTTTTTTTTTTTCACTGTGCAGGGTACAGAGAGGGGTTTCTATGGAAACGAGGAAGAGACAACGGTCAGTTTCTCAGCAGAAAGTTCATCTTGTCTGAGAGAGAGGGAGCACTAAAATACTTCAACAAGCAGGATGTAAGTGAGACGCTACAGCTTTTTTACAGGTTTTCAAGGGTGTGTAGAGCAGAGACATTTCACTTCATGTTAGAGATCCTTACTCAGGCATGAGAGACTTTTATATCATTTTACTGGATCTTAATGGCTTTCTTGTTCTCTTCCATAAAGGCAAGGGATCCTAAAGCAGTGATGAAAATTGAGACCCTCAATGCCACTTTCCAACCAGCCAAGATCGGCAACCCCTGTGGTCTGCAAATCACCTACCTGAAAGATAACAGCACAAGGAACATCTTCGTCTACCACAGCGATGCTAAGGTTTGATGTCAAACATTTTCTAACAGTCATACAAACTGCTTGTACACAATGCTGTACCCTTAAAACAATTCTTGTGTCAAGTGTTATCTTCAGAGCAGTGACATGCTGAGATTAAGAACCTCTTTTCCAAGGTAGACCTATGCAAGACTATAAGCAGCAAAAACAAAAAGCTACAGACAGAGACACAAAGGGAGAGAAACTCAATTTACAAAACATTCAAATTTGCATTAAAGTAGAAATGTCTGTGGGACGCCGGTAGCGTAGTGGCGACCCAAGTATATAGGCCATAGTCCTTCAAGCGGGACGGCCCAGGTTCAAATCCCCCCTGTGGTTCCTTTCCCGCACGTCATTCCTCACTCTCTCTCCCTGATTTCTGACTCCATCCACTATCCTTTCTCTACAATAAAGGCATCAAAAGCCCAAAAATACATTTTAAAATAATTTCAAAAAGTACCATCTATCAATCAAATCTGGAAGTCAGTAGATCGGGCAGTTAACCTAAAAGCATTGACATCCTTTACAATCTGCTTCCAGGTCTTTAATTTTAGATTAAAAAACAATCTAAAATGAAAGACCCCCCCCTCCTGTCTGACGGGGATAGTTTCCTGCTGTGAGGAGCATATGTGAACACCCAGGTCAGGAGAATATCCGGAGCAGTGAAATTATCTGGACATGTTCAGGAGTGCATATGTGAAAACAGCAATTTTGTTCCTTTAATTCAAAGGAATTTTAAATTCCCATGTAATTCAACTAAACATGACCTGGCTGACAGAAATGCAGATTTAAAAAATGTATGTCTTGGTTTTATCCTTTTATCTAAAGCAGAGAGTTCTACTTTATTTAGTGTTTGGTGTGAACAGCCCAAAGAGCCCCAAAATGATTAGTAAATGATGAGTAACATTTAATCTGTTGGGTCCTAACATGTCAGAGTAAGCCCCTCAGAGGTGCTGGGAGCAGCTTTGTCTCACTGGTAGAGTTGGTTGACTCATAATCTGAAGGTTTGTAGTCCGACCCCAGCTCCTTCAGTCCACAAGTTGAACTGTCCTCGTGCGAGACAGTAAACCCTAAATTGAGTGTTATAGCCAGCATTGTGTGTGAATGAGATCAGTTAATACTGATGGGCACTGTGCATAGTATCCTCTGCCTTTGTGTGTTGGAAGACGAGAAAAAGTCTATATATGTACTGTCCATTTACCAAACGGTAACAGGAGTGATCATCAACTGGCAGCCAGTGGGCCACATCCGGCCCCCCAAAGCTTCCCATCTGGCCCTCAGAATGTAAAATCTCGGGTGATTAAACAATAAACATTAAAATAAAATCACAAGGCTAAAATATTTGCATCATAGGTTAATGGGAGAAATGACATTTCCCCTCCAACATCAACGTCTTCCCATTGTGCTTGGCAGCTGTCAGGGATGTGCAAGCATATTTTAAAGTATATATCTATACATATATATCTATATATAGATATAGATATATATATAGATATATATATAAGTAAAAATAAGAGATAACAGATTTCTTTCAAAAACAACAACAAGGAGTGTTTCAGGGGAGTGACTGGAGCCTTGAGATAGAAAAATCCCTGCTCCCTCTGCTGGCTGAGTTGTGTTACTGAAGTGTGCGACAGAAAGAGTTCATCAGGTTCATTCAGTGCCCCCTTCATTTTTGTTCTGTTGTAGAGTTATCGACATCACTGCAGCACTCATACGGCACAGATGCTTTTCACTTTATCTTCCCTTTGAGAAGAGATGCCTACATTATCAGAGAATCAAAAAGTGCCAGAACTTCTTAAGTATGAAGAGATGCTGTGTGAATTTCCGTGGTAGATGTCTGAGAGTATTTTTTTGTTTGTTTTCAGGAAATGGTGGACTGGTTCAATTCTATCAGAGCAGCCAGGTTCCACTACCTACAGGTAGCCTTCCCTGGAGCGAGTGATGAGGAGGTAAGGAGGACTGACCTTATCACACACTTACAGGACTTGTAAATATTGTTTCTAGGTCATCAGTATGTCTGTTGTGTAATACTATTAATTCATGTGATTCTCTTTTGTCCTTTCTTCTCTAGCTGGTGCCCAAACTGACCCGGAACTTCATGAGGGAAGGCTTCATGGAGAAAACAGGTCCAAAGGTTTGTGCTGTATTTATATCATTCACTCCTTTTAAAAAAAAAGAAAATACTTTATGGAGGTCAAGCATTAAAGGTCATATATTATCCTACTTTTTAACAAGTTTAAATAAGTCTCAAAGCTCCCCAAAACATATCTGTGAAGTTTCTTGCCAATATATAATATATATAAACCCCTCTATTTCAGCCCTGATCAGAACAGGCTGTTTCTGTGTCTGTAGCTTTAAATGTAAATGAGTTGTGTCTGACCACGCCCCTCTCTGGAAGGGCTTGGGCGTTCTTGCACCATGCCCAATTGTTTACGTTGAGAAGGCAGACTCAGAGGGCAGAACACACACCTAGCTGTGGGCGTGTCACCCACCTGTGGGAGGGGTTACTGCCCTTTGTGATGTCATGAAGGGAAAATCTCCAAACAACCTGTTTGAGCACACATTTTCTGAATGTTATATTAAATTCTTGAAAAGGGGAAGGTCTCAGTTTGTTGATCCAAGCAGACAACCTGTGGACCTGTTGTGACCATTTTCATTCCTTTTGCCCTTTCACAGCACACGGAGGGCTTCAAGAAGAGGTGGTTCACTATGGATGACAGGAGGCTCATGTACTTTAAAGACCCTCTGGTAAGAAGAGGACTTCCCCCCTCAGATCCTTTCTTTTAGTTCACACTGATCACTTTGGTTTGTACACACCTCCCTCATGCTCTCTCTGTATCCAGGACGCCTATGCCCGTGGCGAGGTGTTCATCGGCAGTAAGGAGAACAGCTACACCGTCCAGTCCGGCTTGCCCCCGTCTACACAGGGCTGCCACTGGAACCACGGCATCACCATCGTCACGCCGGACAGGAAGTTCCTGTTTGCCTGCGAGACAGAGGCTGAGCAACGGGATTGGATTGCAGCCTTTCAGCGAGTCATAAATCGCCCAATGAGGCCACAGGAATATGCAGGTATGAAGAAAAGGAAACACTGAAATACTTAACTGATCATTTGGGAAGAAAAATATCAATATCATAACTTTCTTTTGAATGAAGGATACATGAATAATTAGATTATTTCTGCTAAGAAACAATGGCAGAAAATATTCATTTCTAATCTTTACATGGTACCTTGGATTTAGTCATAAAATGACTTTATTGGAATGTGCTTGAACAAACATGTACGAAGGAGCATTAGGGCCGCATTAAGGGGGCGAAAAATCTGAGATTCAACATTAAAGTCTTTTTTTTACGAGAATAAATCCATACATTTTTATATTTAAGTCGTACATTTACGAGATTAAAGTCGTTATGTAGTGTATAGTTTTATCAGAAGAGCAGCAGACCTCTGTATGAAAAAAAGAGGAACATGGAGCATCTTGTGAAGTTACACTTTAATATAGGTTTCACAGATTTTGGCGATACTTCCTGTGTAACTTAAACTGACTGAGTGTGAACTCTCTGTGGAATGAGCTGCTTTAAAACAACAGTCTGACAAGTTCTCATATCACATTAGTTGTGTTGCTGAGCTTCAGAACCCTGAAAAGATGCTGCAAGAAAGTGGGGCTTTTATGGAGATAGAACCACAGACACACTGACTTAGAGGAAATTGTCTCTGTTGTGGCAGACAAATGGCTTTGTTCCACTTTAAGCATTTTCGCTGCTCTTAAGATACGACCTTTCAGAATAATCATTTGAACCATAGCCTCATTTAAATTGACTTATGAATTTCATATCTTAAATAAACAACTTTATTATTGTTAATGTACAACTTTAAGCTGGTAAAAAATGTTTATTTAATCTTGTATATTTATGATTTCCAATCAATCAATCATTATTTGTATAACATCAATTCAATTCAAGTGGTATCTTGTGACTTTTTACAAAGGAGCAGGTCAAAGACCTAACTCTTGTGAATTTACGACTTTAATCTTGGAAAAAAAAAAAAATGTCTTTAACATGGCCCTAATCCTTTGTCGTAAAGGTCTGACAAATAAATGTATGAGTTCTAAACATGTAATGTTTGTCAAACTACTTTAGGGGAAAGTAATCAGAAACAGTTTATATTCATGCATATTTACTTTTCATACCGTAAAACCACTTTGTTAGTACAGATGATTTGTTCTGAGCAACTTCAACAATAAAGCTGTTGTGCTCTTAAAGCAACACATATGAAACTACATTTAAAATAACTATTTTCCTGTTCTTTGTCAAACTCAAACTTTATGCTTGTCCCTGCAGTGGAGGCCCATTTTAAACACAAGCCTTGAAGCCTTCAGGAGGCCACAACTCAGCTGGTCCCGGCCCAGTCTCATCAGATCAGAGCTGATCCTAATGTGTGACCACGGACCAATGCGGGAGGCGGTGGGGTTAGTGTACAGGAGGAGCGAGGAGGAGTAAAGATAAAGAAGAAAAAAGAAGATAAAAAACACATCTGGACTCACGTCTATCTGTGTGTTCAAAACTTGAAGTCTAATGGGACTGTTGGTCAGTCATGGGACAAAACAAAGATTAGAGGCCAAAAGGACCGATGATGTCATCACTACTGCGCCTAAACAACCTTGTGCTATACATTAACCATCCTTCCTTTTCTCCTCTACCGTATTGTCATGTCTTTCCTCGCAACCCCTCCCCCCCCTGTACCTACCTGAAACTGCTACCTGTAATCTAATGTAAGTATGTAATTTAGAGTCATTTCACTGGTTGCTGAACAAGACAATGCAATGTTAATTTATTGAATGTACAGTTTGGATGACAGTGGCTTTCAGAGTGTGTGGAGTAGTGACATTTTTTGTGTTCAGGACGCTGACCCTCTGGCACTGAAACCCTGTTAAACCTGAACCTTACAAAGTGCTGTTAACAACAAATATGCATAAAAAACAGATCCACTCTCAGTGATCACCGTCGCTGTTAATGTAGCCGGAGGTGGCTGATCTGCATCCAGACAGGGTCTTTTTAAAACCTCCGTCGGAACAGCTGTTCTCTTATTTATTTGTACTGTTGAACATACTGAGTCGTTGTGGACAGTTATCGCTGCTTTAAAGGATTGTAATGTGACAGGATTGTAAGTTGTGAAACACTTCTACAGCTGATTTTCTTTTTTTTTGTTTTGCATCTGGTTTCAAAGGCACATCGTTGTGTTGACCCTTATACTGCAGTGATGTTTCATTATAAAAACTTGTCATGACTTAACATGAATACAGATGAACTTGAAAACCTGTGTCATTGTTTGCTTTCTGCTTAGTGTTCAATACATTTGATCAAACCTGCAGTATTTACATGCAGGACCATATATGATCAAATGCTAAATGGACTTGAGCTTGTGAGCTTTGACTACTCAAAGTGCTTTTACACCTCAGGTCACACCTACACATTCACACACTGATGGCAGAGGTTTGATCGAACCTCCAACCCTCCGGTTGAGAGATGACTGACTCTACCACTGATCCACAGCTGCCCCAAAATGATCAAATGAAATGATCAGTCTGGTTTACTACAAACTTATTTTTCATGCATGTCCTTCTTCTCATCACTAATAATAGGTAATGTGTTTTATTTAATATTGTATTCATTTTAAACAGCAATTAAGTGTCCATTCCACAGCATTTATAGTCACAAGGGATGCACATAGACAGTCTTGTTTTTCATGCGTTGATTTGTAGTGAAGTTATTCCTTGACATTCAGTTTGGTAAAAGATAAAACACGCAAGTTGAAATAAAGCAGATCTATTATATCCCCTTAAAATCTCAAACTTGTGTAAATGCAGTGCTTTAGGAAAAGTGCAGTAACACGAGTTTATCCACTAGATGGAGTGCTTCTGTAACTAAATGAATTTATCAACTAACTGGGAAAATGTCATCCTTGAACTTCAATGTAGAGATTTAAATCACCGTATCAAATAACCTTCATGCAGGAATATCAAATCATTCATTAGTTAAATAAACAAAACAAAAATGTCTGGTGTATTCTTTTTTGTATGAACAAAGACCTTTTCGCAAATCTGTGAAAGTTCACGGAAATAAATTATAATAAATTAACATTAAACTTAACATATCCTGGGTTACAAAGATGATACACATATTTTGCTACCAATAAAAAACAATTCACAGGGTATGTATAAGTAGGAGTCGGGTGTAGGGGTGGTATAGGACATTTTAAATAGTATAGGCGTGTAGTGAAAGTGGAAGGTGAAGGTTGTTGATATAATGTAGGGTTTTCTTAAATGTTTTTTCATTATTATTATTATTATTATGATTAGTAGGGAAGTCCAGATTCAGGGCCAAAACTCCGCAACACAAGATGGCGGTAAAGCACCAACATGATGAATGCAAACCGCCTTTAAACAAGAAGAAGAAGAAGAAGTGTTTGGTAACGTGACCCTTGTTCGTAAACATGGCGGCCTCTACAGGTGACAGTTCAAGTAGCTCTGTGAGGAAAAGACATGTTGGCAACAATAAGACAGAGACAAAGTCTGCGGACTGCAGTGAAGAAGATGGAGAAGACAAAGAGAGAGAAAAGAGGCTGCAGCCGCTGCAGAAAGGGACTTACTGGCTCACACGTATCGTGTTGCTGCGCTCAGTCTCCTTTATTTACTGTAAGCATGTTGACATGTTGACATGTTGAGGTTTTCACTCTGTTAGAAACGAGTAAGGAGTCATTACTGGGATGAAGTCTAGCCGTATTTACGTCTTGAAGAATAGCATTAGACAGGACTCCCTTGAAAAAGGAGGTTTTTAATCTCAATGGGACTTTCCTGGATAAATGAAAGTAAAATATAAAAATAAAAAATAGCTTACATTGTTTAGTGCTGTAGTGAAAAAATACTTGTTCCTTCATATTAAAAACGTTGACTTAAACCTTTAAACCATTCTGTTGATATTTGTGTGTGTTGGCTGTGAGGATGAATCCTATCAGTGTCCTCTGTCTATTCTGAGGTCTACTCTCACCTTTCAATATGCAGAACACACCTAGAAGATACATGAAGGAGTCTCACCTTCACCTGCAGATAAAACAAACAGGGAAGTTCACTATGACTCAATCTAACCTATCCTGTTTTCATGTCTAAGTACCTGTCTCTAAGCAGCAAATAGAAAGTTCATAATCCGACATTATGCTCCAGTTAAGCCACAAAGACAGCACTATCTGCATAAAGCAGTTGCATTTCTCAATATCTGACAGGCTTCAGCTTTGCCTTGATAGCCTGACCAAAATATCACCAACAGGGAATGATCACGCACACCTTGTGGGAGTTCTCTGACCGCATCGAACATGTTAAAAAGAGGAAAAGACTTTAAGTCGTGTCACATGTTGCTCTGTGTTGTTAATCGATAACCCCGTCAGCTGCTTACACAAAAAGGCTTGATGGAGTCAGGGGAAAGTAAACAGAAGCCAGACTTAAAGTACACACACAGAGTCTGGAACAATATGGACAGAAAATGAGCATTGAATGATATTTCTGATCGTGTATTATTTTAATCTTGTCTCCTGTCTTCTCGGTAGTGGTGGCGTTCAGCGTGGCTTACAACCAGAACAAGCAGCTGATAGGGGAACGTGGTCTGCTGCCCTGCAAGAGCTACCTCAACAGCGTGAAGCGCTATGTAGGGGGTAAGATAGGCTTGGCGGCCTTCACGTACACGCCGTCCATCCTCTGGTTGCTTGACTGGAGCGACATGGACGCCAACCTGGACGGCCTCGCTCTGTTGGGGATGGCACTGTCGGCGTTTGTCCTGGTGACGGGAATGGCCAACATGGTGATCATGGTTACGCTGTGGGTGCTCTACCACTCCCTGGTCAACGTGGGACAGCTGTGGTGAGTGTGGGTAATACATGCACAATAAAACCCACTACTTTTATGTGCCGGTCAATGTGAAGCTTTAAGACGTGTGGAAGAGATTTCTCAAAGCTGCATGTAAGAGACCAAAAATCAATACCAGGGACACAAGGGTTTACCTGATAGTCGAGGTTTTATCAAGGCAAAAAATACTTTCATGACATATCAATAATGACAAAGCACAAATAGAATTGAAATAAATAATAATTTTATTAGCAAATTATAATACCCCTAAACCAAAGTTAAAAAACCTAGATTCTGATAGTCTTTGAGACAAACAGGCAGAATCTGGATTTGTTTATTTTGGTTTAAGGATTTGGAGTTCCTCATCATCAGCCTCCCCACATAACTTCTTTAAACTTAGGTCAGGGTCAAGTCTCAACACCTTTTTGAGCTCCCTACCCAAAGTAACATCCCTCACATTCTCTGCGAACTGATGTTTGACTGACTCCTCCCCCCGCACACTAAAAATATAAGTTGTTTTCTAGTGTGGTATTGATGATTTTTTTTTTTTTTTTCTCTTCTAGGTACTCCTTTGGTAAGTGAACACAGTGGGTCCACATCAGTCGTCTCAGTTTTCAACCTTCCCCCCCTTCATGTCCAGGACTGCTGCGTTTTCCCCTTCCACATCACATAAAGCAAAACTTTTAAGACATTGACACACTCAGGTTTGGATATCATTTCAGTTTATTTTGAAAAGCAAAAAGGTAAAACACCTCAATGCTCAAACGAAGGGCGTCAGAGAATGAAGCTTCAACTACTGATTTTCTATATTTTTAATTAAACTTTGTGAACAATCAACTGTTTCATCCAAAGGCATTCCATGTTGGGATCCTTAGCCTTCTCCTTGCACATCCTGGTCCATCGATCCTCTTGTTAACCAATCTGTTTCTGATGATACCTCCAGGTTGGGAGAGTCAGCTGTTGGAGACCGGCTTTCTGGCCATCTTCCTATGTCCAGTGTGGACTCTGTCCCAGGTTCCCCGCCGCTGTCCTCCTTCCCTTATCTGCATCTGGACCTTCAGGTGGCTCATTGTTCGCATCATGCTGGGAGCTGTGAGTGAAACATTTGCTGCATATCGTTCAGGTTACTGAAAGTAGAGGACACAAATGCTTGAACAATAATAAGCAATAATACACTGAAGCGAGCGTCACTGTGCATATAACTTATATTTTTTTAAACAGATTTCCTAGTGTTGAAGTGATGCCCTTTTTTCTGGCCACACATGTCAAATACTATTTAAAAAATAATAATAATTCTAATGCAAACATTCATACACTTTCGTTCATACGCTGGGTGTCACCAGTACCAGCCACTCTTTTTGTTTACCTTTTTGTCTGAGAAGGTGTTGCCTTCATACATTGGTTCCTCAAGTTTTCAGTCTATTACCTGCTGGATAAAGTAATCGTGCATTGGACTGCAAGTTACTGCAGGATGGTACATTTCAAAGAACAGGAAGCAGCTGAAGCCAACAGCCAAGCTCATGATTTAAATGATGTGCCCTGGTTTTCTAAATCTGTTTAGGGACTTATTCCACAATCTGTGCCCACCACCTTCTGGGTTAATGTGTCAATATTGACAGGAGTGTGTCCTGGAGAGCTCTCTATTTACTCAACTTATTTGGTGAAGAACAGGCTTGGAGCAGACTTTGGTGTTTTAAGCTGAATCTATAATTGGAAGTTCTCTCTCAGACACTTTAAATCATTTTAAGTGGCATTTATCTGTTAAACAGTTGGACCTTTCTGTGAGAAGCTTGCTTGATAGTTGAATACATTTTTCAAGGTCAATAACTCCATTTGTGTGTGTCATCATACTTCTTATTTACTAAGAGCACTCCTTTTAATACCTAAACTCATTGTACAGTATATTCACATATTTATGCTTATACAAATTTCAGAGAGTTAGAAAGTTAAAAAGCTCCAGCAACACTTGTAGTACCTTTAGAGTACTTAATGTACAGCCACACCTGCAGCTCTGGGAAGCTCTACCTACAGCAAATATACGTACTAAAGTATTGTTTTTATGTTTTCTGTCTTTTTCAGGGTCTCATTAAAATCAGAGGGGACAAATGCTGGAGAGACCTGACATGCATGGACTACCACTACGAGGTGTGTGAACAGATTGTTACTGTGTGTATGTGTCATGTAATGTGTTTGATATGGGATTTTTTTGGGCTGATACTGATATCGATATTGGGGAGGGGAAAAAAATCTGACACCGATATATCAACCAATATCTTTCTTATATTTATTTTTAATATATAGAGATAGATATACACATGTATTGCTTTGATGCGGATCTGACACTTGCACACTAGTCAATCTCAACAAAGTAACTGCACACGTGTGATAAAATTAGCGGATACTGATCATCACTGGATATGATATTATCGGCTGGCCGA